ATTCATATTAAATATATGTTTCAAAATTTATGTGATGAATTTAATGATAAAAACCTTAAAATGCATGCACCTTTAATTTTAATGTATTTTATCAATTTTTAGTTGGTAACAAAAAATTTACAAGTATATATATATATATATATATTTAGTATAATGTAGTATATATTTAATTTTATTATAAATAATAATTGAATCTTTAACCTTCACAAAATAAAGAATTATCATATAACCCAAAGTTTAGATTATTTATAAATAAAAAATTTTCAACATCTATTTTAAATACCCAACATTTTATTAAAAAATATTTTTTGAAATAATCAAATTAATTAGTCAAAGCTATAAAAAACCACATTCTTAGATACATTAATTTTAAACCTAGTTATTAAATTAATTTGGATTTGTTCTATGCTAATCTAGTATCAAACTGATTAGATCACTTCAATTTTGCAACACTAAATCACAAAATTTGATTTTTGTGAATAATAAACATATATAAGATTATATCTTTACTATATAACTAATAAATATGTGGGCGGTAGGGAATCAATTTATATATATATATATATATAATTTTAGTAATTGAACTATAGTTGAGATTATTTTTTTTTATAATCTTATTCTATACTTAGTTATAATAGATTTGCTTTTAAATAATTTGAGTTGGAACTATTAAAAAAATCACAAAAGATAATTTTATAAATTTGGATTTGTTATATGATTTGCTACCAAACCAAATCACTTTGATTTGCACACTAAATCACAAAAATTAATTTTGATAACACAAATTTAAATTTTTATTATAATTTATGTGGGTGCTGAAAATTTAAAAAAAATTTTTTATATAAAAAACTGTTGTTGGTTTTGAGAGAGAAAAATAAAATATAAAACTTGTTTGAAGTCTTTTAAATATTTACTACTCGTCTTCTTTTTTGTTATCATTTGGTTGTTCTCAGTGAGGAAAAAAAAAAGAGATGGAAAATATAAGGTTGTTACTTAAATGTCTTGAATCGAAAGGAACATTTGTGTTCGAATTACCAAGTGATTGCACTATTTGTTGTCTTCGAAAAAAACTCTCAAGCTCTGTGCCTACGCGTATACGTTTCTCTCGTGATAACAAAGAAGAGTTTGTTGTATTACAAAATGACACACTACAAGCTCTCGGCATTGTCAATGGAGACCTCCTTTATTACTCCCGCGACCCTTTTGCTTTTACTTCTTCGTCAAAAGTCGCAGATTCAATTTCATCGCCTGTAAAAGAATCGTCTGATACTGAGACTACAACAAGTTCAGAAGAGACGAAATAATTGTATTTCGAGTAATTTTTGTCATTTGACAACTGTAATTTTAGTTTTTGATTGAATAAATATATTAAAAATTTGCTTCAAGTTGATGAATTAAAATGCATTAAAAAATTATAATCATAAATATAGTGATGTCGTCGTCTTTTAATTTTTAATTTTTTTTTTAAATTACATATTCGTATTTTATTATTTTATCTTATTATAATTTAAATTATATAATTTGGTAGATCTCAATACATAATATTTTATTTTATTTTATTTTTATCATTTTATATAAATTTTTAGTTTTGAGTTCTTTGTACATATATTTTTTTTAATTTTTATGTATTTTCAAAATTTTTAAAAAAATGAACATCTTTTTTTTTTCAATTTTAAAACAATTTTTTTAATCAATACAATAAAAATAATTTAAAAATATATAATTCTGAATGTTTAAATTATAGTAATTAAAACAAATAACAAATCAAATTTGTATGAATAAATATTTAATAAATAAATAAATAAATAATTTTTAACAGATTGAGGGAATAATTACCAATTAAATATATTAAAATATGTTATAGTTTAAATTAGAGGGTTAGTACCGTAATTTAACCAGTAACCTAATACAACCGGGAAGCTCCCTCCTTTATAAAATCATCTCTTCGTTTTCATGAGATTTGATGGAAACCAGAGAAACGAAAACATGAGGCTGAGACTCAGATGTTACGAAACCAGACAGACGCAGAAAATTGAATTGCCAGATACATGCACCGTTCTTCAACTTCAACAATCCCTTTCCGCTTTTTCACCTTCTTCTGTCCGTTTATCTCTCAACCGAAAAGACGAGCTCGCTGCGTCGTCGCCGGATGATTCTCTGGGCTCCCACGGTATCACCACCGGGGACCTTGTTTATTACTCCAACGATCCCATGGCTTTTACCTCTCCGTCGCAAACCCTAGTGTCCGCCTCCTCTTCTGTACAAGCAACGCTTCATAGTGGATCCACCAGTGCCGTAGAAACTGAAGATTCCGTAAAACTCGAGGACCGAGATGAAGAGATGGACGAAGAAAGCTCGGTTCAAGACCGGTTAGAGGAGGATTTTCTTTCGAGTCTCGAAAAGGGAAGAACCTCAATTCAAGATTATGCAGAAGCTATGCATGTGGATGATGAATATTTAGAGATAGCTGGTAGACGAAAATTCTCTGAGCCTTCTTTCTTGAGGAGAGTATTGACGGCGGAATTAGGTGATAGTGGTAGTCAATACAAGCTGTTGATCGCGGTCCACGCGGTGTTTTTGGATTCGGGTTTTGTCGGGTTCGATTTCGTCTCAGGTAGGCGAGTTGATCGGTTGAATTTACCTGACAAGTGGCCTTCAATGGTCTTTTCTCTATCTCTTTGGTACACTTTGCCTGAACTTTTGAGCAATGGTTCTAATTCACCTGAATTGATTGTTTTGAAGTTTCAAAAGTTAGGTCATTTTGATAATGTTTATGGATCATTAGCTTCTGGTGGTGCAGGGTTGTATAGGGTATGTTTGGATGAAAATAAGTTTCTACCAGCCATAGATTTGATCTTAGGAGATTGCGATGAGAATGGCAGGATGGATGATAAAAAATATTGGATTTTAGATTATGAGAAAGTAGTTTTTGATTTTTGGAGAATGGTGAAGGATGGAATTGTGTTGCCATTGTTGATAGATCTTTGTGATAAGGCTGGTTTGCTTCTTCCCGCTTGCTTGATGCGTCTGCCAACCGAACTGAAAGTGAAGATTTTGGAGTCACTTCCTGGTATTGATGTTGCCAGAATGGGATGTGTTTGTACTGAGAT